GTTGTGTGTTAATGAATGTAATGCAATGGCTGAGTGTTTTTCTAGGTTATTGATCTTATTGGGGTCTCGTTCTATGTTTAGCTAAATTCCTATGTTCTGTTAATCTAACTGACCCCGACCGGCTAGTTTGACCTATGTATTTGACTTCACAGTCATTACATGGAATTTGGTAGATTATATTATTTTGCTTAATTGGTTCTATCGGATCTTTTAGCCGACAAAGCTTACCTCTAAGTGAGTTTGTTGGTTTAAATGCCACCCTAATTCCAACCTTGTTGAGAATCCTACGTATGGTTTCTGATGTTCCTTCCTTGTATGGTATCACAATAGAGGTGTTGATTTCCTTTCTACTTATGTTGTCACTATTATTTGTATTTGTATTAGTGTTATTATTTTGCTTCTTATGTGTCCGTGTGAATTTCTTAATAAAATGATGGGGATAATTATTAATTATTAACGCTTCTTTTATGTGTTTCAATTCCTTATTTAAGTCCTTACAATGACTAGTGAGTTTCTCAGCTCTGTTATTTAGACATTTGACTAAACCCGCTTTAACTGACACTGGATGAGATGACTTGAAGTCTAGATACCTGTTAGAATGTGTTGGTTTTCTGTAGACGGTAGTATCTAAACCACCATCTATCCTTCGTTTTATTCTGCAATCCAACATAGGTAATTCTCCTTGTTCATTTTCTACTTCGTAGGTGAATTGGATTGCGTTAACTACTGAGTTTATGTGTGTCAAGAAACTGTCGATATGTTCCGATTTCAACACTGTAAATGTGTCATCTACATATCGCCACCATATCTTAGGTGTCGGATTATATGTTCGTAAAGCCATATCTTCCCAACTATCCATAAATATATCTGCTACTATAGGGGATATTGGTGATCCCATTGCTACTCCTTCTGTTTGTCTATATATCTTTCCCTGAAACTTGAAGACTGTCGAGGTTAAGCATAACTGCACTCCTAACATGATTTCACCAACCGATGCCTTGGTTCTTTGAGTAAGTTGTGAGTCAGTATCTAGTTGATTTCTGACTGCCTCCAGTGCCATATTGATTGGTATTTTAGTATAAAGACTTGTTACGTCAAAACTAACCATTTTTTCATTCTCTTCTATGTGCAGGTGATTAAGTTTTACATTCTATCACATTGCCCAAGTTTTACACTTATATTAAATAATAATACTTTGTGGAGTTTATATGTATTAATGGGACAAATATATTCTGATAGTTAATTTATTATTCACTTTATAAACAAATAACTGGCAATCAAATTGACTCTCTTTTTCACTTTATTATCTTTACTATGAAAAAATATTTACTGATAAACTTAACTATTACTTGTTACTTTTCATATATATATATATATATATATATTTTTTAACAGATGGTATAAGAATGCAATTAGGCTGTACAATAAATGCTAATGGTATAAAAAGAGTCCAACCGAATGATCCTCTTGATTTAATATGTAATCATGTAAATTGGACTGAAAATTTTCATAAGTTAGCTATACAAGAATAATTAACTTGACAGATTATAGGATATAAATATCATTAAATATATCATTAGTTGACATTAATATACCTCTCATTCTATACATTTCTATTCGTTAATATGTATATGTTCATTGTTTTTATGTTAACAGTTATTTCAATGTATATAAAAAAAAAAGACTTTTTGAGCTGTATACTGTTGAATACATGTTTTAAGCTTCATATAAATAGTTTTTTGAAGTGAACTTTTCAACTTGAAGTCAAGAAATCAGTACTGTATTGTTGAGTCAATGTATTTATTATTATTTGTCCCTTGGGTTTCTAGTGGAACATACAGGCCTCACTAGTACGTCTCTAGTCCACTATATTCTCTGAAATTATTTGAACTCGGTGCCACGACTTCCTACAAGCTGTTATTTCTTACTCAAACCACATCCTCCATGGTGTCACCCTCACCTCTGATGCCCAACTCGTCGTTTTCCCTTTCCTCTTTACCTTCCACTCGAGATCCTCACCTGCCACATCATGTCCCAGAATGGTCTTCTCACTCACTGCATCCCCAATACAATCCATCCCCACTTCCTTCCACTGCATATTTGTTCACCCATAGCTTCTTGGTTGCTTCGTTGCCTGTCACACAGCCAGCCAGCCAGCTAGCCAGCCAGACAGCCACACTCCCTTCTTGCTTATTCTTATCATTCTGGCCATCTCACCTTCAGTGTCAGTATCGAGTGAGCCTAGGCACTTGTTGAATGATGATGTATGTGTGTAGTTTGTTGGAAATGCTTTGCATAACACACTACCAAGTCTGTCAACCATCACGTGGAAGCACTGACTCACTTGACTGATATTCGTGTTGAAAATCTCGATGTTGTTCACGCTTTATGCTGAGTGGAGTGCAGAAGATCTCCACATTGGTTTAAGGTTAGTGAACATCTGTCTTGCTGTCTTTCCGGTCCTGGCTTTGGCATCCTCGTCTGTGCCTGTACCGCCTGTAATTGAAACGGTGCCGTCTAGACCTGTGAGTGAAAGAGGCTACTTTCTTTAAGTTTCTCCCGTTGATGGTGATTAAAGAAGTGAATTACAATCCACGATTTGTTGTTTTTCAGTCCTTAACGATTCATAACATTGGCGAACTGTATTTACATTTTAGATATAGCTGGCTGCATAAACTTAGAATTTTCATGCAAACTTCAGGTAGTTCATCTTCTGAAGAAACTAATTGAAGATTAATAGAGTACCATCAAAACTGGTGACTTTCAGGGTTTGGTTTTAGTTACTTACTTGTAAACTAACCCATTTTACGAATTGGACTACCTTTAGACTAGGAAAATTTCGGTTTAAATTTGACACACGATACAAGATAGACCAGAGTGACAAGTGTTATACACTGATGTGTCTACTGACCTCTCAAACTTAGGTAGAATAATGTTCCGACCAGTATCTTTGAGTATCTAATATTCTGCAGAATAAATTTCAGTCACGATTTATCAGATAGACCTAATTAGTTGACTTTAATCTAAACAGTCACTGGTTACGTCCCTGTCATCAGTCTGATCTTCAGCCAATCACTCTTCATACAGTCCTTTAGTCCAACCGTCCCACTGATAAACTAAGTAAGCACTTGTTGATATGCGAACTACTTTTTTATCACAAACGTTTAGGCTACTGACTAGTAGTATATATGAATAAATAAATATTGTGGAGCTGTAATACTACTGACAGCATCGAATTTATCACTGAAAAGTTAACTGAAATCAGTCTTGTTGACCAATAGCAGTAACAGCATGCTTCAACACTGATTCTATGATTCAATCATGTGGAACAACCCCACGAGATCTCATCAAAATTCATGAGAATACTGATTATATGGCCAGAAACCATGACCAACATACGTTCGCCTTACGTTTTGGATAAAATGCTATGGAGTCAAGGATCTCGAATTGTTTATTCACTAATGTTAAAACACTGATGACCCAGTTGTATCTCTTTCTATCTACCACAGTATTTTCTTTTGAAATGCGAATACTTTGGAGACAAAACCATCAACCGATATCACAGCTCTGTCAGTTAATTCACCATATCTGGAAGGCTAATTTATGGCTATCCAAGTGGTCATGTTAATGTGAATTCATTTGTCAGCAAAACTGATTGATCATTTCCCTTTCCCTCTCCATCTAAATAACATTTCTTCCTTGATTCACCTACTGTGAATTGGTGTAGCTGGATGATGGATAACTTCTGATGGTAGTCAAATACCAGGCGAGCTTTTATGTTGAATTAGATAATAAGTAAAATACAGATATAATAGGATGGTAACAGGCATTGTACTATGATTAAACTAAGCAAACTCTTGTTTTTCAAAATATATGAAACGTATGTATAGGCAGTCCTTCATTATTCAACAGCGAGATTTCTTTCAAAAAGGGGTCATTTGATATGAGGGCAACTTCGATTTCAAACTGAGATCAAAGAGTGAACTACCGAATATAAAGAGGTTATCGGTGTGCAGTTTCATTCTATTCTGACACTTGCGGATACACAAGCAAGGCTATCAAAATAACCGAGCTTAGGATATGTAGACTTTAGTAGGAAAACGGCGATTCCTTTGAAAAGCATCAAACATTTTCTTCAAATAAAGTTCTTGAATTTTGATGTATACAATGTGTTACCTAAATGGTCTGGGCTAATCTGAGAAGTGATAACTGGTCAACGGTAATGGGTTCAAAATCTGTGTGCATCAGATACCTGCTACCACATGATTTTCAATGAATCCCCTTGATCAACTTACACTCAGCTCATCTCCATACTAATTAAAGTGACTCACAACTCCTCAAAGAAATAACTTTATCAGTTGGTCTTTTATCTACTGAAAAGATTTCAGAATGAAACACCTCACTGTCAGTTGTATATTATACAGCAGCATAGGTTAACTCGCTGTCAAAATAATTACAGTGGACAACAGCGGACAGGGGTGAAATTAATGAATAACTTGTCAATACTTCTACTTATACTATTATTATTTTACTACTACTACTACTACTACTACTACTACTACTCATGTGACACAAAATTTCAAGAAACTAATGAGTCGACAGTAACACTACTAAAGTTTTCTCGTCTCATTAACTAGTCTAAGTATTGTGAATTTATATTGGGATGCAGCATCAATGAATGTCTATGGCTTGAAATAAAATGCTTTCATCTGTCGCATTGAAATATATATTTAACACAGTAGGACTTAAATGATATCGAGCTTTTTCCTGATTGCCTAATATCTGAAGTCACCTTAATTGGCAAAGTTGGCAATGAAATTCCATGCAATGATGATACAGAATATAACCATTTAGATAAGGTGAACGAACTGATACCTCTGGATGATTCCCAACGATTTTCAGACATCACCAACAATCGACTGTTTCAGCTTTCTTGGAGAGGTAGATAAAGAAGACTACATTCCTTATTATATACAACGACAACATCACAATCAAACGTTTCAGACTTGAAAGTCATTTTCAATAGTTGTCAACTGAATAAAACTACTTGTTGTTTGCAAATTGAACAACTGAATACAAATTGAAGAGCAGACATCCTCTTCACCAGTGCACAATGGCAACTAATGAAGTCTTTGAAAGAAGAGTGAAAAGAAAAACAGCCTTTGGATGGATTAAAATAATTATCGACCAATTATGTGATGTTTTCGTTAAGCAAACACTTATTGACTAGTCTCTCACTTATTCACTTCATCCACTCTACCGTCATTTCACTCATCCATCTTCAACTTGCATAACTGATCCACTGGATGCCTAATCCCTTAAATGTTTACTAACAACTCTGAGAAAAACAACACCAATATGAATAATTCACGCTTGATTTATTCACCTTGACATGGGCAGAAATTATCTAGAAAGAAACTTGGAAATAGAGAGAGAAAACAGAATTTATACTTGACTAAGATGCTTCATTTTCTAAAAATATTAGAGTGAAAATTCAAAGATTGTTGGGAAGTAATCTTCAAACTGTATGATGAAATATTTGTATTCAATGGTTAAATGAAACAAAGGAGATAGAAAGGTCATTCTACTGAATAGCAGTCCACCTGAAAGTTAAGTAAACATAAATGTTGAGTAGTTTGTAAGTAGCAACCATAAACTTTGATTATCTATCTCGTCCACAGTTCAAAGTTTCAATCACTTTTTTTCAGATACCAGTGAGTCTGTATTCATCTTTGTTCTCTTTCGAGTGGATAACAATAAAATCATAATCTCCTACTACTCAAATGCAGTTAGTAATCTGTGTGCTTTCTGTAAAAGGAAAATAGTCACTACTAATCTTATTATGCTGCAGTTGTCTGGTGAACTGGATTTGAATAAATTCAGTCGACTTGTATCATTTAAACAAAATAAGATGATTGTGGATAACTGTTGAATGATCGTCTAAAAGATTCGATGCAGTCAACTGGCTTTTATGCAGTTGAGTCTTTCTGGAATCCATACCTTTGCAACTAAAGTATTCGTTGAATTTGATGCAGGATTTCGACTCCATGCTGGACGATCACGATGCCAACTTAAACTGTGTCCAAGAAGTATTTGGTCTGGTTGACACCCCACAAGTGAGTCATACATAGATTCTTCAGAACCCTTTGTAACACAAAGTTTTTCGTACTTCCTTGTGATCATCACTTCAAACACTGGGAAGAGAAGATGAGAAATTCACATTAATGATGGCATGATTGCCAGATTATATGAGCTAAGAGAGGGAAATGAAACTCTCATAGGGTTAAATGTTACACGTATAAATTCATAAACTCATTTCAGTCTGAACAGTTCTTGCGACAATGCCTGTTTAACAGAAGTCAACGGGTAGTGCTTAGTAGTTAGTACACAACACGAAGGGTTCAACCAACCTCCTCATGTAATGCTTAGTATTTGATGCTTCAAGAGAACAAGCCATTCAGACTGACAGATAAGACTAATTCGTGTGGATCACGAATGAACACTTTGAAGAATTCATCTGATACATCATTTGGTCACATTTCTAGTTCATAAGACAGACAGACAGACAGACAGAGCAACGTGGCTACTTGTTTAATATGCATCGTTTTAAGTTGCCGAACTTGACAAGGCAACAGAGAAAGGAGATAAAAGGGAACAGAATGAAAATGAAATAAACACAAACCAAAGTGAGAATGAATTTCAGAGAAACATTCTAAAATCCTATGATGAGAAATGAATACATATGCACCATTGTGATCGATTGTTAACCATGTCTTTTTATTATTCACTTCCCAACGTCGCAGAGACCTCAACTAGGCAGTCTTAATTTAAGTACACGGCTCAGCCCTACAGTCAAAAGCTACAATGATCAGTGGTGCATAGTCATCTGGTCACTACTAGCTGTCTTCTTGTCTCATTCTCCTCTGATTAGCTTGCAACTCGAATTGTGCAAAACTTGATAAGGATCATACAGTAGGCCTTACATATAACATAGTTTTTATTCGCCAAGTTATGAGTGATAATGATTCAGAAACCAATTAGTTCCCATATTTTTGGTCTAATCCTTCAAATATATTGTAGTGAAATCGACTGTGTTTACAATTTATGAATTGAGGTGCTAGAATGTCGAACCATATTCAGTCACTGGAGATGCATGCACAGTATGGCATGCAGCCACCATTTTGAGTGGTGGCTATTAGCTTCACATCGTTAAATAGCTGGATGGAATTCTGTAGAGTATAAATATCATATAACCAGTGGAGTAATCGAGATCAACTACATTTTCAATAAGTCTTTACATCCACTTTGAAGACAATTTTACAGGATCAAAATATGTGTGAACTTTCGAAAACTTCCATGATCGATTTTCATTGCAACCTACACCTTGCATGGTGTAATTAAGATGCTCAGAAACACTTTCCAACGGGTGAAGCAGGCACGTAACAGTAAGTTCAGTAATCAGAAGAAGATTCAACGTACATTTCACAGAACTCGCTGCATTTCAAACTACGCATTCAATCATCTCCACTTTTCAGTAAATGGAAACATTTGAGAGTCGAATTTGGTGTTGGCATGATACACTGTCCGTGGGGAGAAATCTCACCGTATTTGCACGTGGAAACTAAACTATTCAGATCACCACTGACTGCTGGTCATGTGAATGGCCTGCAAATACCTATGCCAGTCAGTATATTACGTGATGGATTCATAGAAATGCTTCCTTCACAAGAAACACTCTTACATGTGTAAGTAATTCCAATAAGCAAGGTGTCCACATCACAAACACGTCTCAAAACCAATATTACCACATCTTTTTCAATACTTTTTCACTGCTTTTGTAAGGAACCTACTACACAAGGAAACGTAAAAGGCCAAAATGCATATTAAAACGAAATCATGTTAACCAGGGCCAATGCTGTTAATATTATCATTATTATTATATATTATTTGTCCCTTGGGTTCCCAATGGAATATACGGCTTCAGTAGCACGTCTCCACTCCACTCTGTTCTCTGAAATATTTTCAACCTGGCTCCATGACAGCCCACAAGCTCTCATTTCCTCCTGCCACGATCTCCTCCATGTCACCCTCACCTCCAAAGCCCAACTCGTCGCTTCCCATCTGGGTTCCACCCAAGTACCCGACCTGACGCGTGATGTCCACAGTCGAACTTCTCAGTGTTTGTCCAGTACAATCCACCTCCACTTCCTTCCACTGCATATTTGTTCACTGATAGCTTCTTGGTTGGTTCGTTCCCAGGGCTCCTTGTTGCTTATTCCTATTATTCTGGCAATCCATCTGATCTTCAGTAACGAGCCAGCGTAGGCAGCAGTTGTTGATGAATGTCTGTAGTTTGTTGGAAATCCCTTTCGTAACACGCCAACTCTCTCAACCATCACATAGAAGCACTGACTTCACTGGTATTGATTGGTGTTGAAAATCCGGATGTTGTTCACGCTGTATGCTGGTTGAGTGCAGAAGATCTCCACACTGGTTTCAAGTTAATGAACGTCTCTCTTGCTTTTCCCATCTTGGCTGCCTTTGACGTCCTCATCTGTGCCTGTGCCGCCGCCTGTATTTGAAACAGTGCTGCCTAGGAGGGTGGGTGAAACAGACTACTTCCTTTTGGTTCCTCCCGTTGATGGTGATTCAAGCTTCTTGTTGCTGTTGTTGGTGGTGGTGTTGTTGGTTGGGTATCTTCATCACCTCTGTCTTCTCTATATTCACTTGAAGTCCCGTCTTCCTCCACTACCCTGCCTCACCTCTTCTGTCAACTTGTCAGTCTTCGCATGTAGATCTTAAAGTTTGTGTGACATCAGACACAAGTCATCGTTGACGAAATCCAAGTCTTCTATGTTCTTTTTCCCAGTCCAGCCAGCATATGCCCCTCTTCTCACTCCTCACTGATGTGAGCATGTTCGCTGTTGTCTCTGCATCTGCCCTCAGTGCTTCAGGTGGGATTCCATATGGTCCTGCTGCTTTCCCACATTTCAGCAGCTTTATGGCGCTGCGTTCACGACTTCCACCTTTGTTGGAGGATTTGTGTTCACTTGTAGTTCTGTGGCTGGGCTGCAGGTGATATTTCTGGACGAAGTGCGGGTGTTGGTGGTGGTGGTGATCGATTCAAGAGTTTCTTGAAGTGGTCAGCCCATTGTTTCCTTTCTTTCTCTTATTTGGCAATTAAATTTCCTCCATCATCTTTCATTGGTTTCATATGTGTTGACCTCTTCCTTCCCAGATAGTAACCTGGTTATTTGATACAATGTTGTCAGGTCTCCGTCTCTCCTACCTGCAGCCTTCAGCCTGTTCTGCTTCACTTGCCAATGTGTCGTAGAGGTGTCTTTTGTCTTTGCGTGCACTCTTCTTCACTTCTTTGTCCAGTGCAGTGTTTTATACATTGTACTCACTTCCTCTTCTCGTTGTGCATCCTTGCACTGCACTGGTTTATCTTCTGCTTCACCATCACCATCCTCCTCTCCCTGTTCTGTCAGCTTCCATGTATCCATCGAGATCTATTCAATATTCCTGTGATAAACTAATTGACAACACAGGTTCGCCCTGTTAAAATGCCAGTTATCACCATAATCTACTCAATAATAAGACGTGATAATTAACAATTGGTTGAACCAACTGTCTGTCTCCTTTCACTGTTATCTTACATCAGGAAAATTAAAAGTAGACCCCATTGTACTTCGTTTTACACGGCATAACTCACGGTTCACACACATCACAGACATCACACTGTGCATATACACAAGACAATTTTTTGATAATTACACTTTGAAATGTTCACACACACACACACAGGTAGAACTGGGAATGAACAACAGTCAGCATAAGTCACTACTCAACGTGAATGCTTACAAAGTGATGTGTCACAACATGAACCGATCATCATAAACAATACATTACAAATGTAAACAATTAACAGAACGAAAACAGTAATCGTGGTTGACAGTGTGAAGAAGTAACCAGGAGATTGTAATAGTTTAGAAGAATAGGTGACCTCTTACATTCAGTGAATCATCTCCTTCCTATCAATGTGTGTCTTGAAACTCAGTCAAAATACTATTGAGACAATTGAGAATTGTGCATTTTTCAATGACCACTGGAATCATCAGCGATATGTGAGAAGAAAACAATCGGATGACAAACAATAATGTTAACCTGAAAAGAATTTGTCTGTGTATGTTATCAGTTCAGTGTAGTATAAGTGATGATGTGATGCCGTCAATCCATACTGCAAACTTAATAATAGACAGGTAGGTCACCTAGAGTTTGATCTTATGAGTATTTCAATGTTGAAGTGCACTTGTTGTTTAACTCATCTTCACCACAATATCAGTCGTGAACATTTGAATAATGGTGTCGTCTTTGTAGCATTCGAGAATGTCTCGTTGTCACATCGTTGTCAGACATCCAGCTACTGAAACTGTATATTGTGATTTTGTAAATAAATGACTGTGTCTACAGTTGCACAAGATATCTAACCAGTGAAGGATCATCGGTTGTCACAACTGAATGTGAACAGCACAATCCACACATCGATACTTGGAGGAGTACACACTTAATCTGGAGTCGATCGACAGTTGAAAATGATAATAACTTATAAATATGCCCTCCATACTCACCCACAACTGGTATAGAAGCGATGAAAACTGTAAGAGTGACCGGGTCAAAGTATACTACCTCTGTGAATACCTCGATTAATTATCCAGGTCTCAAAGACCTTTAAGATGTATTCAAACTGGAAGCTAAACGTCTCAAACGACAAAATTTCAAGTCCACCTCAGCTTGCAATGCCCAATCCATCCCTCTTACATTTATGTAGCTGTGCGGAGAACTGCAGATCCAAGCCTATACTCTTCAGATGACTCAGACTAATAATTAACTCAGATATTCGACATCATGATGAAAGGATACAAATCGACCAATTGGTTTTACATGTTCCATGAATATTACCGGTGGTTACGTACCAATATACGTGTTGATTTTTGTGTAATTGACTGGAATTCGATGACAGTCACCACTGTTAAGGTCATTCTAGTGATGCTCAAAAGTAAAAGCATAGCTAGAGCTATTCTGCTAATTATCCAACATATATCATAGTCGTTTGTTTAGAAACCACCAATTGAGAGTAAAGATTTGCCATCTCTCTTGAAAACATTTTGCTGCATGGACAGTAATCCTAAACTGCTGTCTTCAGATTCTCAACTGTCGCCTTCAGATTCTCAAGTGATGACTTCAGATTCCATCCAGAATGAAGGCCCATGCCATCAATTTGTCGAAGATTTCATCTCTGACAAAAAGTTGAACGCCTCCACTATCCAACTATGGTAATACCACCAACCAACTGAAGTGGAACCAACTGACCAGTTATTCCATTCTTCTCATCAACAAAACAATATCAATTTCCATGACTTCACTCAGATAGAATACCTGCTTATTCATGCAGAAAATTACAGCAGGTTTTGAGGAGTACCAGTCACTTAAGTCGGTCCAATACTCAGTGAAACACCTGACAGGATTGATTATTCACACATACAAGGACAATTTTCACACGATATCAGATGAGTTAGGTAAGGATTCCGTGTAAATGGATAATTAGATTTGTGATCTGGGCTCTGGTCAGTTATAAATTTTACATCTTTCCCCCAACCCCACCCCACCCCACCTGATCCGATTTACAGATATGCAAACATCCCGAATACAGAGGACTTAGTAACTATGATCATGATTGGCATGTGGATGAGAAAGGGAAAATGAAAAATTTAAAAACAAGAAACTGTTTGTTTCTGCACAAGAAAGACAGTGGGCAGTGGAGTGGATTTGTAAACGAGGTGATCACAAGGGTAGTCAAACATGCCACATATTTGCCCCCTATCTCTCCCTCTCCCTCTCCCTCTCCCTCCCTCTCCAGTAGATGACTGCAAAGAGATATGAGAACCAACAAATCACTGGTATACTAACCATAAATATTCATGTTTGCTTCCTTTCACGATAAGCATAACTTAATTATCATATGTGTGTTTATAGCCCATAATTATTCAATGAAATATGATGCTTTAACTGGCAGGCATACTTACTATGCACCCGCATGATGTACACGTTATTTTCTAGTGAGAACAAATTACTTGAATACGATAATTATGCGAATCTGTTGTATTCAGACAGTGGTGTTTATTAGTATAGTTGCATGGCAGTAGCGAAATCGGTTGTGAAGGTGAATGGACGACACACATAGCCATCGATAACTTCATAGAGTAGTTTATTCATCATGAAATTATTGGCCACATCGAGCAAATATTATTAGTAGTTCTCTGAAGGATGATGATTTGGATAAGGGAACCACATGAATACTTCAACAGGTTCCCCATTCGTTCCAGCATCTTATGATTCCTTTCCTGTGGACTTAGAAGCTCATGAGTAACAAAATAACAGTATTCTTATTCACTAGTACGATAGATATGAATACTGGATTGAGAGTAACCCCACTCCTTTCACCCTAGTTTGATTATCTCAAAATCATTTGCCCACTGCAGATAGAAAACATGTTTCCCCAGTCAAAGATTCTTTAACATCCTTTAGAAATTCGTATTACATTGAATCAATTTAGAAGGATAACTCAGCATATTCTATGAAAGATGTAGAATAAGCACTTAAAAACTTAGGCAAGGAAGTATAAGGGTGTCAGAAACTATAAATGTCTCAAAATTACCAACAAATACCTCAGAAATTCATAATACACCTTCTGGTATTGTATGTTATCACTTCGTTGAGTGACATTCTTCTAATAACGAGTGTACAGCTAAGTGTTAACTGGAAATGACCCACTCGATGTGTATCATGTTTAGTGGGACATCTTCAGGATTCAATCAGATGCTACTGTGGAGGCTGGAAGACAGAGCAAATTATGATAAGCGACACACAGCTATATATCATCTCTTGTTCAAACATCACTTGTTGATGTCAGATCGGGAAGTTCGCTACTCTTCAGTTTCAAAAACCGATTCATCGACTTTCTCTCAAGCCAAACGCTTTAGTTTTTCCAGTGGGAACTGTTGCATTTCATTCTGAGACATAATACAAGTAAATTAGTTGATCAACTCGAGTTAATCACATCGTGTGTCTGCCTCTTCTGATAACTATAATAACCGGAAGTCGGGGTGATGTAATGGAAAATATGGTAGCACTTTCAAAACAACCAGATACATCAAAATATCTTATAAGTTCTGTACTGAAAACCGACCATATAGGGTGCGAAACCGAAGAATAACTAATCCACATCTTCAACATGTGGCGTAGTTATTGTTAATCACATTTACTACCCAGTGAACACTTTTCTTCATAGTTTAAATCAAACAATAAACTCAGACTTTGCTGATCATCAAGGCAAAATAGATCAGAATATTCGAAATTGGATAATACTTGATCCTGTCTCATGAACAGATCAGAGTGATCACCACACCAAATAACAAAACTACTCACATCTTTTAGGAAGATTCAAAATGATTTTCCTTTCTCTAACAACTTTCTTTTCATCTTCCAAACTGTAATTTGTACTGAATCTGTTGACTGCGAAGGAGCCATGTGGGGCCAGTCGATTCTGTTTCATACTCCCAACACATGAGGACAAATGTTTAGTTGCTGTAGAAGAACCTGGATAACTTCTTCTGTCTCTAGGTGTGTTCTCTTCACCACCACCACCACCACCACTGCCCTCTGCATCTGCATCCTCTTCTTCATCACCACAATCGTTGACATTAGAATCGGCTTCTGAATTTCCCATCACACCTTTCCATTTCATTTCATCTTTCGTGTGCGCTTGGACAATTTCCTGAAGAAAATGTATATAACCGATTGCTAATCGGAGTGTGTCCACTTTCGATAAGCGTTTCTCATACGGCAACGTCGGGATATGCGATCTCAAACCTGTTCTCAAAATTAAAAGACAACAAAACAATCTGTAAACACCCTAACTCAATCACTTATTATTTAGACATAAATTACACATAATTCGATTAATCTAATGAAAGGCGATGATCATCGTGGTGTTTTGCATTACTGCTTAAAATACAGATCGAAACAGGTGAGCTTCCATATAATATTAAAAGCAACTGACAGTCCTTTGCGTGTATATATGACAAATGCAACATTGTACTCATCATTGTGATTTTCGTAAAGTCTAAATAGACATTTCACCTCTCTGTGATATTAAAGTATATGTCAAATAAGCGGTTGGTCAGTCATTAAAGTTCACTTATTCAGACAAAATCTGATCGTCAACAAAAGTATGTAAAGCGTGAAAATCAACTGATATGTGTTAACTAGTCTCACTTTCTGTCATGTACTACTCAGAAGAATCAATCGATGGAGCTCTGCAGTGTTGTCAATCAGTAATGTGAGTTGACATTGAAATCCATCTTATTCGACATAAGGATATCAGAGGTTTGTGTCTATGTCTTCTGCCCACCTCAAAATGCCTGCAATATATGAGTGTATATCATCCAGAACAGTAGTAGAATGGCATGCATAGCTTACTGATGAGTTACCCCATAGACAAAACACAAATTCACACTTTCTCGTCTGAAATCTTTTCACATCAATCAATAGTGAGCTGAATTTCGATACAAGTGAAGATTATTATCGTTGCTCAGAAAGGCTGAATGCCTTTACATTCATAAGCTTTTAATTAAAACTCACATTTCATTTTCATTCATTCACTCGATAACTTTAATCATCACTACAATGGATACACTTAAAATTATTTTCAGATACTTTTAGAAGTCTTTTACTAGAGCCTAAAGTGATACTAGAATCCAATGCAAAGTCTCTTATATTGATGTAACCGAATGTTCTCCTTTTTAATTTTCACAAGTGAAAAGAAAACACCTGTCACTCTATTTATTCAACATTAAAATTTCCTTACTTCAGATACTTTTTCAGAACAGCTTTTGCTTCACAGCAAAAATGTAACAAATAAGAGTTATCTGAGGAATTGATTAACTTCCAACAAGGTTTGGATCACAGATTGAAAGCAGCCAGGTAAACATTGTCAACCTCGGATCACTGTGTCATTGTTTCAGGACATTCTTAGCCTCATCACCAGGGCAGGTTCACTAACTTATGTCACATCTTACCCATGACGCTGAAGTACACACGTTTCAACTAGATTGAAACCCAGCAGTCCATGTATTCCAACTACCGTCAGTACGTGATCCAGCCTGCACCAGCTGATAAGCTTGATGGTTGTAAGTTCCATACCACATGGAGTTATGCATGTCCACTGCTGATGCCTCGTAAGCTACGATCAAACACTTGTTCAGTGGTTTCACATCACCAGTGGTCCTCTGGCTGATTTCATTTCATGCTACCAATTCCTTTACTGCACGTAGCATTGGATCCACATAGTTAAACATCTTCGTAGTGAAATGAAACAAGTGACATGGACCCTGCAAACTATTATCCCTAGTTAACCAGCATACACATAAAATATTAGTGAATTGAGTTAATAGTACGAAATCTCCGAGTTCAGTCAACGGAATTTAGTCAGACTGAAGACATCTCACTTTCTTCTACGTCTACCTTGATTCACCTTATGTACCTCAGAGTAAAGGTGACAGCATGATCTCCTCTGCTTTGAAACCATAATCATAAAATTATGAAAACACTACAAACTAGGGAAGTCGGTAAATCATAGTTTCAGGACCTGATCCTTTTAGCCGGTCATCTTTACTAAATACGTGTACAATGTCCTACTTGAATAAATTATCGAATACAAAAGGCGAATAACTTGTGATTACCACAAATACTACTCATCAATGACAACACTGAATACATTTTCAAAATACACTTGAGTCAATCAACTTAAAGGTGGTCTAAAATTTAATTTCTGCTTCATTGTATGCTCTATAAGCTGGTTAATATTTGAATATCGGTAAAATTTGAGAGTAGAATTTTGTTCACATATTTAATCATTTGAGTAACCTAATATAAGCGAATAAAATGACAGTGAGTATCAAGAAGTGACGGTGCTACAAACAGAATTATGATAAATACTACTGCTACATCTCTGAGATATATTTTTGTAACACTGATTGCTCATCAAAGCTGACTTAACCGATCTCTCTTACTTCAGTCAACTTGCGGCAGTTTCCAATCACTTCTGTTTGAGTTCTATGATAAAGATAGCTTGTTTGAGGTTGTGTTATCCAAACCGTTCACATTTACACAGTTGACAACATCATATCATCTCTGCTATAACATGCATGGAAATGTAATGGATTACTAGACTGGTGTGAACAAGGTGTCAAACCATATCTCTTAGACATTGGGTGACTGTCGTTTGAATAACTCAACTAGACGCTGTTTGGGTTTTCCAGGTAATATGGGTTAAATAAACCTTTGCTACACAAAGTCACCATTAAATCCATCTTCAATGAAACAAGAACAACCACTGACTACATATATTCAGCTTTTGTCCCTTCTTCAGTCATTTCTACTCTACTCATTTACCCACTAGTTTTCTGCAGGTGGTTAGTGTGTAAATAACTCTGATGACTATACAATGAACATAATACTTACGAATATTGACTGCTTTCACTATGCCTGTGTAAATCTCACACTAATAAATGTTGAGGAACAAGAACATTTCTAGGCACTTAATACAAACAGATGTGTGCTTAACGCACTGTTGTATTTGGCTAATCTGTTGGCCCCCAGTGGACATGAAAAAGTGGTGAGTCCAGTTCATAGTGAAAAATCTCCGAGTTTAGTTAATCGAATCCAGTGAGAACTGCAGACATCTTACTTGATTCTACATCTACCTTGATTCCCCTTGTATGCTTCTCAGTCTGTGATAAAACATGATCTCCTCTGCTTTCAGACCATACTTATAAGGTTATGAAAACACCATAAACTAGGAATATCGACAAGTAGTGATTTCACGACCACTTCTCTTTAGTTGATCATTTTAATTACACATGTCTATAATATTTTGCATTCAACATAATACCAAACACAAGAGGAGAACGACTTGTGATCAGTCACATAAAACTTATCAATTGGAATACTAATCATAATTTCAAAATACACTTGTGTCTGTCAGCCTAAAGGTGCTCCAAAGTTAGTTTCTGCTTCATCGTGTATTCTCCTAGTGACTAATATTTAAATGTAGGTAACTTTTAGGGTGGAAAGATCCTTTTACATTTGATCATTTAAGCTACGCACACACCATAGGCAAATAAAGTTGCACAAAGCATCGAAAATTGGCTACCGTCTAGATGGATATTACTGCTGAATCTCTGAGATGCATTTTTGCAACACTAATAGCTAGCTCATGAAAGCTGCCCTAATCAATCTCCCATACTTCAATCAATATCATGAAACTCATTTCAAACTGACATGCTTTCCAATCACTTCCAAGTATACACTGACTCACCTTCAAATGCTTTGTTGATCGACTGCATCCGTCTGCGTTCACGCATGTTAGCTGCCTGTCGCTGAAAGGTATGCAGAATTTGACCTTTGAATCGTCCACTCTTTCGTATGTGCATGATCTTAACTCGACTTGAACGATACAACAACTTATTTGATCTTGATGAAGATAACGATCGTGTTCTCAGGATACTGCTGTTGCACGAAACACTCGAGCAACTAGAGGATTCATTGTCTGGATCATAAGTGAAGTCGTCTACATTTTCAAAACATGAAGTTTTCACTGAGAAGTTGGAATTACTTGTATCTGTGCTCACTGGCATGCTTGAATTATCACTGTGGGGAAAATATGTAACGTTCCTAGTGTTACAGAAATTTCCACCAGAGTTTCCATCAACCTGGTTCACATTGCTTTGAAAGTGTTTGACAGATCTTGGACTTGTCAGTTTTAGATGTTCTGAACTGGACCAATTACGACAACCAACTGGTCTACAGTTGACACCAGAGTGACAAGCTGATGATTCACCTAACCCAGAATTTGAATTTCTCTCTTTTGAATCGAACCGTCTCTGTTTTGCATGAGACACCTGGTTACATTCCAGATTGAAGTCAGTTAACGGTAATGTGGCCATCAGTTGATGAGCAGTAAAATTCATAGGATATGAATTGTGAATAGTTGGATAAGAATCATGTACTGGCCAAATTCTTTGTGACAGCTGGATTGTTTGTTGTTGTTGTTGTTGTTGTTGAAAACAATGACTGGCTGTTTGTTGTGTTTGACATGTCCAATCATTTGTTGTTGTATTACCACTGTGTTGACGATGATATTCATCCATGACAGGGCCAAACCAATGCTCAATAGAACTACGAATAATTGAAGCTGGTAGAAATTCAGTATCAGCTATCACTGAAACAAACGAAGATAAAGCAATAAAGTCATAGAATGATTTATCTGTTAACTAACCTTGGACTTATATTGTAAAAACTGTCTTCCAAGTTGATGAGATGTGAAATGAACTTCCTTACATTCTGTAGGCGAACAAGGAACCATTAAGATTGTCAACTGTTGCACTCAATGACTTAAGTGAAAATTCAAAGATCTGGTATGACTTCCAATGATATTTCACACCCAACATGCAATATAATGCTAAGATGTATTCAGCTTGATCACAGAATCCCCTTATTAGTAGTTACAAAATCTCATACAGTTTTCAATTCACTATGTACAATCAGTTGAATCGAGAGTGGTTCACCGAAATTTATCATGCCACGAATAAGCGTGAGTTTTAAAGAAACAACAAGTGACAACCATCAAATGCCAACCAGTAATTACATTGTCATCTCTGCTTATCACAATGCTTCAAGCTACTTAGACTATAATATCCACAAGCGTTGGTTCTACATCAGATACTTAGAGGTCGATGGAATCAGTTAGTAAACCCAGTGGACAATGGCAGTCGATGTCAGACTGTATTGAGCAATAAATTGAAACGAATCAACTCCTTAAGAGGTGTCAAAATGAACAGTTCTTGCATGCATGATTATGAGAAATTCCGCTTGATGGTTGTGTTGTGCATCAGGCAACAGAATGGTTCTTCTGTTCTACAGCAACAAGAGTTAACAGGAATCAATTATATAATTCAAATTTCATATCAACTAACAACAAACTGAATGGATGTGAACTGTAGTCAGCTAAAACATTTGCCATGTCCCAGTGAGAACACATCACAATGCATTTTCTTGAAAGCTATAGATGGTTGGAAATCGGCTTCAATAATTCCCCTAGATTCGGTGGTATGTCATAGGTATCAGATTATTTCTCTGAAAATATCTCAACACTCACACCCAAACTTGACTGATTTGCTCTCAGAACATATTTCATAAGCTTTTCATAACTTCACAATACATCAACTATAGAATAATCCAACCAGAAAACCTGCATCCCCATTTCCATGTATGGAAACATGTGACACGTGTCACCACCATCATCCAACTGTAGATGTCTGTGAAGTATCAATCTCTCAAAGCTGTCTATCTCATCATTCATCAATTCATACTAATTATTATACAGTTTAGTCAAACAACCTGCATTCTGAGAAAGAAACTCTGTCGATCCAAGTAGGCGTAAAGCCTTGACTCTGAAACACAATCCATTAATTCTTACTTCCAGTCAAATAAATTCACCTGTCTACACAGTGGAGCATATCAATGTCCAATGTCTCGAAATATTGAATAACCTTAAGGCGTTGGCTGACAACCAGCATCTATCATAACCTACCTAATATCAGCGTACTACTCATCATGTATGTGTATCAAAGCAAACAAACACTGCTATCATTATCGGTGTTCTCTATAGTCGTTCATTCAATTCCATCTTTTTGGCATCCCTCACTTTTGCAAAACAAATATGCGTGTCATACTCTCTTTAATGATGAGATAATTCACTCTACATTTTTATGCTTTTCATCATAACCTCCATTTTGTCCTCTTTCTTATTCTTAATACACTTGATACAGATGGGATAAGAGATGAATATTCCGTGAAATTTTTGTCGCTATTGTTATCCTTGCAAGATGGGAGAATTGTCAGCTGGGCATGCAGGAATCTAAGAGAAGAATTCCACTCTTTTGGAAATGCATACACACCATCAATCTCCCATTCACACACACACACACAACTGATATGGGGATACAGGGACTCATGCACACCCTTCTCATTGACATTTCTCACTTCGTGGTTGTTTAATCACTTTTTTAAATATCTCTCCTTCTCCTCCTCCTCCTCCAACAACAACAACCAAACAAATATTCATTTAAAACATAGAGTGAAGTTAATCTTCCTCCTCAGTTTATTTTAAAACACAAGTTATCTATCTGTCTACCTCGAAGGCATAGGCATACAAAGTAAACAAGAATCAGTCCACTGAAACCTCGTGGAAACCTTTTCCACTATGAGACAGACTGTGAGTTTCTCTGTGTGTCTATATGTTTGCGTAGGTTGGTATGTCGTTGGTCATTATTTTCTCAAATGAAAAACACCTGTGTTAATTCTCATAATATCAAAAACTAAACAATAACGTTTTCTTAAATGTTTTTCTGCAAAATTTAATTGCAAACACTAAACTCTAAAAGGATATTAAGTAAATCATTTTAGAGTGAGGCAATGATAGCAACCAGTTTAAGCAGCCGTTTAGATGGTTTTATTCAAGAATCTATTAGATAATCGATTGAAGTCTATTTTCGAAGAAGGTGGTCATTTGTATGCACAAAACTATTCATGAGTAGTCACAAATCATCTCAGCTGTTGTCATGGGTTTAACTTTCATCCAAACAGATCTTTGTCATTGGAAGGGATTTGCCAATTACGGCTGAGTTTGACTCTGCTTAATGTGGAGTTGTCATTCTTCAACAAGGTGTGTCTGTGTTAGATGGTTGGAGGCAATCATCTGAAAGGCTTGTTAGCTGCACTCACCAGCATGGATTATCTGCAACCTGGAGGGAGCTAATGTCCTACAAGAGATTGTAGCTGGTGTCAGCCAATGCTGCAGTCAGAGAAGCTACCAATGAGCTATTTAGGTCATGATCGCTCACTGAATAGCAACAAACACAAATTAAATCATAGTTAATCAGAATGGTGAGTCACGTAGCTTGGTGACTGTACTATAAAGTGACCTATAGAAGTCAGTCAGCATTTGAGACTAGTCTAACAACATCGAATTGGTTAATCTCCAGTTACTTACTATTCACTGGAAAATGAATCCGTATTTAAACAATCAGTCTTTACTGAAATTGACGGTTTTGCCGCCAATGTTAACCTCAATCATTCGCAAAATATACCACATGAGTGAAGTTGATAATATCAGGACTGCAATAGACAGCACATCAGGTTTTTTCATTTAGAAGACAGGGAAATTAGATGGACACTTATTGATTTTCACGTCAAAATAACTCTTTGTATAGGTAACATTAAAACAAACCACTTATATCACTTCTCTCGCTGTACTGCTAACAGGAGTACGTCACCAATCGACAAGCTGTTCATTCACATTTAAACATCAAGAGAACCTCATTTGACTACGAAGTGAAATTATCAGCTCCCAGAAATGACAAGAATCAGTTAGATAGACAAGATGTCGAAAATCTGACACTGATTATCTCCAGTCATGCGATAAATGTATGAAATGATAAAGTTGATAAATTGATGATTTGGTAATTCGTCAGCTTCTTTCTCATCTGGGATTTGAGCTCAAGGTTTGAAAGGTGTTTACTAGCACCCAACACACCACTGATTGCCAGTGATACATTTTTAATAAAATGACGATTAGTGGGTAAGTAGTGTAGTCACTAAAACTACCGTTCAGTCTTTGCCTTCATCACTTTCATTGTGATATCTCCCTCCAGCCTTATCAACAATTACAACGCTGTAGCTAAATTTTTTTGTATTTCCAGCTAAGTAACACCTACAACAGTCATTTAGTTAGCCAAAATTCAGTCTGCAATGTCAACGTCTCCTAATGCTGCATGTGGTATTGTATCAATTTAACAGATTTGAAAGAAGTCATATCAGACAATTACGCAAATACATCCTCAGGTTATGTATGCATTGATAACCTACTAAGCTTACTCAATTAATCGCCAGAGTACTAGATATTTATACCATATAATATTTGCTATTGATTTAGGAAGAATGCAGCTATGCAGTTTCATTGACGGAAAGATTCAGATCTCGTTAAAATCTTCATCAAATGAAGTTGGCACGTGTGTTCGCATTTTAATCTGAACTACTTATTTGTAGAAACACACTCCTGAATTGATCTTGTTGACGCATTAGTTATTTCGTCTGTAAACAGCATAACCAAAGTCCAATAACTAAGCAGAAATGACTGACTCAGAATCAAATTTGCACAAATCGGACACACGTCGGTGGCTGATACAGCCATCAAGTGTTGGCTGAGTCTAAATGATCAAATCTCTGATGTACCTAATCTGATAAATAACACTACACTGTACTATATCATGTTTCGTGTCTAATATTAGGAGTCGGTTCATGTGATGCTAATTCGATTTGCACATGGTACACGTATTTGGAGTGCTATCTACTATTTGACATTTTGAATACTATCATCCATGAAAGGATCTCTCTGAGGCAAAATACTGTCAAGCAGCACTTTATCAATACATCGAGTAGTAAATTGGGTGATAATCACAAAGAGAGAAGATACATAATAAACCCTCGATTTCAATGAAACTGCTACTTCTATTGATTAGAACATCAGAAGTAGTTCAAGCTGGAAGATGTTGTCACAAAAGCAAGGAAATCTATAAAGTGCATAGGATTTGAGCTACTGGCTTACAGATAAACAACTTAAGCACTACAATGACTGAGGGGAATTACCTTTGTAATAATTAGGTTTCATTATCACTCGACGCAACAGGTGTCTCGTATCTATTACACAAGAGTGAGAAATGAATAACTCTCCACTCGACACCTCAATAACAAAAACCATTCACCCAATCACAACCTCAATATGAATTTCTATGATTGGAGTGAAATTAAGGCTTGATTAGTTGTTGTCTACTGTAGATGTGTTAACAGAATGCTGGTTGTACAACCTGACTGTCTTCGATTTGCATATTGTTGTGCCTTAGTTTCCGTTTAATGTTCAGTCACTTTCCACTCTGTTTCACTGCTATTCATAATGATACAACATATAATGAGATGACTATGAATTACCAGTTTGGATATCAGGGACAGGTTGTGCAGAAGTACAAAGATGAGCATTTCACACCGTCAGTATTACCAGTTATCAATACATTTGGAGGTTTTCAATTGTAGACACAGACAATAAGTTGTCATGCGAACGTATATACCTACAGATATGAAACCCAAGATAGGGATGTGATTCTTACCAGTATTTAGAACTTTTCAGTCATTTTTTAATTGATTTCAGCTGCATAGAAATATTTTATCTATCAGAGGAGGATAGATGACAATTGTAATACAAAATGTGGGTAGTATACAGAAAGTAAGATAAAAGTCCATTCTATTCAACGCAGACACTTCCCATTCATTCTATTCTTTCTCTAAACCTAATCACAATGAAAGATTGTTCAAAGCAAGAAGATGGAGATTAACAATTTCCTGCAAGACACTAGGCGTTTTCGGCGAGCAATTCAAAAGTGGGATCAAAACACATTTGAAATATCACAAATAATGCTTACAGTGGAATGTGTAAGGAGATATGGAGTTGGGAAAACTGTAAGTTGGATGACTTAGTGCAGACTGGTTGTATTCAATGCTTCACTGGATAATAGTCATCACTTCCCGGAAGTATCTTCCATCCACTGATCTGCCAAGATGACAGACAATACGAATACAAAAGTAGCGATCTGCTTATCAGAAGGTTTTAAACACACTTTTCAAATATCTATTGGTTTCTCAGCATAAACATATATATGTCCATTGGACTGAAGTCAGATACAATGAATTTACAAAGAAGTAGTAGCCAGTGCAGTGGTTGAGAACACCAATTCCCATACGACTGCGCATACCATTCCTCAATGAATATTCGAATGTTACAGACAAGTGGCAAAAGTAGACTTGTAACGATTAGTCTTACTACATTACTACATTACAATGAATAGTAAACAGAAATAAAACAGCAAAGTGGACATGTTTTGTCATATTGAATAACAGTGTCATGTTTCGTTCACGTGAAAGCAAAACAATATCATGTACTCCTCATAGCCAGCCAATACAGCCTGTCTAGTTGTCCAGCATAGCCAGACATCACTGAATGTGATTATGTAGAGTAGTGCAGTGCAGTGAAGTGAAGTGCATTTGGTTCCCAATAGTCGAAAGTACCAGCAAAAATGTAGGCAAGCAAATACAGTACTTCTCCATCGTAATTCAGAATTCAGGTCATATACTTACAAGTAATCTTTTGCCTTACGGTTACTCGGCAAATTCATCACACCGCAAGACTGGATCAATTGCAAGTCCTAGAAACAACACTGATTGCCACTTAGCACGCCTAGCCCATCTTGTTTCACAGATAAGGTATATCTGCACAGTAATGGAAGTAATAAACTTATCTAATATGTAGTGTGTGAATTAGTCGACAATTAATTTTGGGTGATAACTGTTTCTAATAGGTGACTTATCTCAATGACTCCTTTCGGCTACCCTAAGCTGTGTGAATGGCAGATTATTTGGCAGCCTTAGAATCAGAGAAGAAAATACAGAGCAGAATGACTATCTTTTCCTAATAAGTGAGTTTTCACAAGGTCTTCCATCAGTTAAATCTCATATGACAGAGAATCAATGAGGTGCTTGTCTATCACTGGACAAAGGTATTTACCTGCACAAAAGGTAGGTGTTAAGTGGGTCACATTTTGAAACTTCAGTATCAAGGAAGTACACGAAGGAATACACATAGACGATAGGAATGTTAAACAAATTATTGTTGGAAAACAATTATCCATCAAAATTTATTTGTCATTTTGAAGTGGCTAGTTCCGAAGAAAAAGTGTTCATCAAGTTTACGTACAAAGGTGACTGGTGAGGTATCGCGCCATGACAAAGACACAACCTCTGTCATTGGAAGCATATGCTGTTCAGCAGTGGTCAGATTAAGAGAAAACACCAAGCATGTATACTCTTCGAAACCTTTACTGCACTTGAGTGAAAATGTCACACGTCATTGTATCTACCAGTTGAAATGTAAGTGGGGTGACAAATAAATAGGGAGGACTCTCAGCTCCGTGAAAGTAAGAACCTCAAAGCTTATTCCATAGCTGATTTACTAGCAAATCGATTCACTTTAACACAACAATGTTGGTGTCAGATGCTGAAGCGAAATAATTCACTGAGACAAATAGGAGGATTGACGTCTCTATATCTTTCAGACCTATCTACGAAAAGTGTTGGGGAGCAGATTCTCACATCTGTCGACAACCTAACTATTAAGGAACTCAGGTCATCTTTGTTTGCTTGAAAACAGTTTATCATCACACTAAACCTTCCTACGTGAAATCACCTGAGAAATCAAGGTCAATGTAGTGCTATTTTTCCTCGACTGACTTTTGTTGTAATTCAGGCCTTCAGTTTGGTCGGCCTACTTGACCCGCCTTCATATGGTCACCTGATAATCTTTCATATGAATACTGTAGCAAGTGAGTGTGTGATCTGATTGTTCCGAATGTGTTGCACAATAGCATTACACGATTAACGTAAATTATGCTTTCTTCTTGCTCTTTAGAAGTTTAGGAAGGCACCAGTTGTTATAAATGAAAACATTATTGTCTCCTTACTAGAAACATCACAATAATAATCTATCTAGTAGTACTGACAACAAGATATTCAGCGAAGAGACTCATTTCAATGAATTTATTTCCGGTCTGTACATTCGTATGCATCATCATGTATGAACAATAATAATAATAATATCTCATGAGGAAGTGTGAATCATGGTATTGAAAATAATAATAATAATAATGAGGATGATAAAGGTACTTATAATTATGACAACAGTTGTTGTATGAATGATAATAAAGTAGACCATATAATGTATAGAATCGTCCGTAGAATCTATATAATTCACAGAGGGTTGTAGAATTACTGAAAGTGGTAAGTCAATACAGCTGGAAAATAAATTCAGTGAAAGGAGTCACTTCACTCAATGATACAATAATAATCTACACTGAGCTACTCACTTTAGACTGTGTATTCCTCTTGTGATCCGATTGGTACTTTTATGCCTGATGATACTCCTCTAATTCAATCCACATTGAAATCTCCTACTCACACTCAAGTTGAAATTCG